CAGGAATTACTGAAGATGTATAATTACTGTGTGTTGCCTAAAGCAGGAACTGAATTAGCCACATATTGTAGAAAAATCTAGCAATAAATTGCCAAACTGTATCATGACAAATGTGTTGCGGATTCCTTGTTCGGATCATGATTATATTGAAATACAATAAGGCAGCAGTAAAAACCTTAATCAAGGTTGGTCAATATCTCTAGCAGAATGACTGCACTTAATCCCTTATCTTCATCTGATATATATATATTAAAACTAATTGTGATTTGGAAAAAGCAAAATGTGCGTAAACAATGTCTTATGTTGAATTCTCATTTTGGCAAAACAGGTTTCAACTTCTGTACAAAATAGAAAATCCCCACAATCAAAATATAATTTATCTGTACAAAAACATAATGCCTTCTGTACAAATTTGTCTCATCTAATCTATCTCAATCTCTACTAGTGATTTACAGCTCATTCAAGAGAGAGGTGACACTAAGGAATTCTTCCTCCTTGCATGGTATTGTGAGACCACCAGTTGGATGATCAAATCCAAATTCTTCTTCCGCTTGACTTAGTAATTCTTGAAATGAAGGTTGGTTCAAGAATGATACTGGAATCGTGAACCGCCTCATCTTATCTCCAACATAGACTGCAAGATATCCTTTTGGTACTTCAACCCTCTTGGAGGCTCCATGGGTTGTAGTAAACGACGCTCGCCTAATAATAGCTGGCATGCGGAAGCCCATTTTTCTCTGTTACGCCACACAGCAAATAATATACTGATGACACAGGACTTGTATATGGAACAAATATTTGAATTCTGATTCTTGAGGAGTATACGATGACTTGTGTTGCTTGAGAACCCAAGAACTAGTGTATATATAGTTGCTGAGGGGCAAGAGCATCTGCTATCCAATTCCACAATGGGTCATGATGGGTTCCACTAAGGGACAAAGGATCACATGGTTTTGTCTCTGTAGAGTCTCTTTCAAGGATTAGAAAAATCAATGAGTGCATACCTCAGGTTCTGAGATGATAACCAGCAAATTACCCACCTGAGAACCTAATGTTTGTTCATGCATTCTGATAGAGTGAATCCAATAGTGGATATGTTTTAGACATCTCACATGCTTCTTTAAATAATTGAGATGACAGTGCTATTGATAGATATATCTACCAATACCATATAACAACTAATGTTAGAGTGAGTGACAGACTGACAGTTACCAACCAGTAAACATTAAGCAGACCAGATTGATAGCTTTTAATTAGTGTTGGTGGTGAGAAGAGAACTAATATTAGACATATGAGCAGAAGTCATTATATGAACCACATTTTTTATGTAGCCAAATTCTAACAAACAGAGCGTGAAATTGGCATACATTAAGTACATGGCCCCTGCTCCACTCCCTTAATAATTGTCAACATGATCCAGTTATATCTTTTATTGATTTTTTTCTTTTCAAATGGGGAAATCTGTTGGCCATCACTTCAGAAAGTTAACTACAATAACATGTTACGTTGATTTTTGAGAAAGTCCTCTAAGACAACACCATGTGCCCTTGTCTCTCAGGTGGTCCCATTACTCTACCAATAATTCATGTAGCCATTGGTTTCATACAAATCCTTTTATCTATATATGTTCATGGTTACAAAACTTTAGGATCAACAGAAATCATTCACATCCTGAAGCATTCAGAATTTAAAATCATCCACTTTCAAGTCTCAAGTTATACTATACAACAATGGGTTTTCATTTGCTAGGTATCCGAAGGGCATCATTTGTTGCAAACCAGACATCTTCAAAAGTGGTTGACACACTAAAGGGGTATGTTGCAGTGTATGTTGGAGAGAGAATGAAGCGGTTTGTGATTCCCATATCATACTTGAACCACCCTTCATTCCAAGACTTGTTGAGTCAAGCTGAGGAAGAGTTTGGATATGATTATCCCACGGGTGGTCTTACAATTCCTTGCAGCGAAGATTTCTTCCAACATATAACTTGTAGATTGAATAGGATGTAATTAAAACTCAAACTCTATAGGAGACTGACATAGATTTGTATAGACATTTGAACCACAAGCATTTTAACTTCTTTTAAGTCTTCCTTTCCCGATAAATAGCGGGGGAAGATGATTAGATTGACAAAATCATAGAGCTTGTCCTTATTTTGTGCTATAACAATGAATTCAATTGGTCAAGCATATCATGTGTGCTTTCTGTTCATTTTTTATGATATTCAGTTCCCCCTGTATGAGCTAGGTTGCTTGCTGTAAGACAATCTGGCTTAGTTGTTCTGTCAAATTTGAAATTTCGAAGCAGAAAAAGAACACATTGATTCCTATCAACCGGTAGAACTAAAGTAATTTTCCTAGGACCAAAGAGCAATATAAATTTGATTAACATACATATATATATAATTAAAATTTTGAGGTTTGCAGTTTTCCCTTTGAATAACAGTGGACTACTCTTACAGTCAAAGAACCAATGTTTTTCTTTAATTTATGTCTTTTAGATGAAATGAAATATTAACTTACAATACAAGAAGCATATATAAGTTTAAAGGTTTTAAACACACACCAAAAGTGTGGCGTTAAAGCTGACACTATAACTAGATTTGTAAAATTTACGTGCTTAACTAATATTTATGTTATAAATTATCATGGCAAATTTTTTTTTTGTAGTTGAACTTGGAACTCGCGTATTTAAATATCATAGATCCACGTTTTCAACTTAAATTTAATAAACAGAAATAAGTTGAAGAGGAAAATAGGTCGTGAGCAATAGAACAACTGTTAGTAATCATTGAATTTGAGTGGATAAGAAACTTTTTCTTTCTACCAAAATTGGCAATATCTTCTACTACTGATGTATATGTTGGAAAAACAATTTAAATTTTCAAATACAAATCTCTGAGATATTATTTAGATTTTAAAAGATATTGATTCTTTTATGATATTGTTTAGAATTAAAATATATTGTATTTATCTTAGAGATTTGTTTCTTCTTTAAAAATTGTGATGTAAGTTCAATAAATAGATACTTTTGAGATGAGAAGAATCACCCGACCTGTAGAGAGGGTCACCGTCTTAAATGAGAGAGGAGGTCATATGAAGGAAGGTTTTCAAGTTTCATCAGAAAACTTGTGAGGAAGGGATTTCTAAGTTTCACCCATAAAACTTGTAAGGATGGAATTTTTAAGTTTAACCCATAAAACTTGAAGGGAGGATTTTCAAATATATGTAATACATTTTGAGATAAATAATGAACGTCATTGTAGACGTAAACATGAGGAGGTGAACCACGTTAAATAAAATTGTGTAATCTTTTCTTATTTCTTTTATGGTGTTACTTTATCCGTAGTAAACTAGTGGTTATACTATGTGAATGTGAGTAACGTATTACATTTTTAGGGATATTTTTTAAATTTTATTACTTTCATGTATCAAAGTGTCAAGAAACAAAATGTTGTTTTACCCATTTATTTAGTAAAATAATTCAATAAGTTCATATTTTATCTTATATATTATAAAATTTAATTTTTATAGTTATTTTTCTAAATTTGTAAAATAAATAGAAATTAAAGTGCATTAATTCTTACCAACTATTGATCATACATAGAGAAAAAAATATAGGTTAATATAATGTAAATATTTAATGGATCAAAATAATTAATGTAAATATTTATTAAATTGATATTGATAGTTATAATTAAAAATACATCATTTTTCTTATAATTAAAAATACTAAATTAAATATTATAATTTGTTTCACAATTGAAATATAAATATATTTTTTTTTATATAATTATCCACAAAAAATGACAAAATTTAAGTGTTATTTCTTAAATACATTCAATGTTGTTCTCCCATTAAAATTGGAATATTATCTCGATAATAATGTATATTAATAAAATTTACATTAAATACAATTATTATTATTGAGATAAAACTCTTATTCAAATCAAACAATACCATTAACTATAAAAAAAATTATACTTAAATTTCATTAAAAAGAATCCATTTTGGTACATTAAGAAAATAGAAATATTATCGAGTGGAAAATCCTTCCCAATAAATATATTGTATTAAATTTGGATTTTCTAGAAGAATGCAAGTTTTTATTCGGTTATGCGTTTGCAATATATATGCACACGTACATGAAATAATAAAATTTTTAAACCTCGATTTTTAAATTCCAAACTTTTCTAATATCCTTTGAAAACTACTCTGGCGCGCACGTATGCCCGTGCCTCTACGTTACGCTTGACAGATAATTTGTTCCGACTGACCTGAACACAATTCTGATATTCACAAAATTCTAATTGTTACATTCATCGATAAGACAATGGTGCTTTCAGATTTGAGTTGAAAACAAAAAGATCGATTTACAATTCAACGTTAACTTTCCTATAAATACCACAAATATTCTCGGTAGCACCACAACACATCTTTCTCACATTTCATATAACCAACCTTGAAGCAATTGTTCACATAATTGTCACACTACATTACTAGCCACCATGGTTGCCAAAAAAAATTTATATCATATTTCATTGGCAGTGCTTTTGTGCATGGCATTCTGGGCTGTTAAAGCCACGTCTCGCACTCTCCAAGATGCCTCCATGTATGAAAGGCATGAGCAATGGATGGCTCGTTATGGCAAAGTGTATAAGGACCCTCAGGAAAGGGAAAAGCGTTTTAAGATATTCAAGGACAATGTGAATTACATTGAATCCTTCAACAATGCTGCCAATAAACCTTACAAGCTAGGCATTAATCAATTTGCAGACCTCACCAATGAGGAGTTTATAGCTCCAAGAAATAGATTCAAGGGGCACATGTGTTCCTCAATCATAAGAACAACTACTTTTAAGTATGAAAATGTGACTGCAGTACCATCCTCTATAGATTGGAGACAAAAAGGAGCTGTGACACCCATCAAGGACCAAGGCCAATGTGGTTAGTGATTGATGACTCATTTAATGAGCCAAATTAAATTGAGTGACTATTATCTAACTAATAATTTGTCTTGCAGGATGTTGCTGGGCATTTTCTGCTGTTGCAGCAACGGAAGGAATTCATAAACTGAGTACTGGAAAATTGATCTCTTTGTCAGAACAAGAACTTGTTGATTGTGACACAAAGGGTGTAGACCAAGGTTGTGAAGGTGGTCTTATGGATGATGCATTCAAATTCATCATCCAAAACCATGGACTCAACACAGAAGCCAAGTACCCGTATGAGGGTGTTGATGGAAAGTGCAATGCAAATGAAGCAGGCAACGATGCTGCTACCATTACTGGGTATGAGGATGTTCCTGCCAACAATGAGAAGGCACTGCAAAAGGCTGTGGCAAATCAACCAGTTTCTGTAGCCATTGATGCGAGTGGCTCTGACTTTCAGTTTTACACAAGTGGTGTTTTCACAGGTTCATGTGGAACTGAGTTGGATCATGGTGTTACTGCTGTGGGTTACGGTGTTAGTGATGGGACTGAGTATTGGTTGGTTAAGAACTCATGGGGAACCGAATGGGGTGAAGAAGGCTACATTAGGATGCAAAGGGGCGTGAGTGCTGCGGAAGGACTCTGTGGCATTGCAATGCAAGCTTCTTACCCAACAGCGTAATTATAAACTTTCGACATCATAATACTATTTACATCTTTTTAACTTTTAAGCATTGTTCATGATATTGGTAGTGTCACTGTACCCCCAGCGTCAACATAATGTTATACATTGTACTTATTATCAATGAATTACTATATAATGAAAGATGAATCATGGTTATGAGTCATGACATACGAGTTATACAAGATAAATGTATCAAAAAGCAAAGCATAGAGGAGAGGAAAGATCGTGGGAGAGAGAACTGAATCTGAATGGTCTATGAAAGAATTGTTACTCGCCAAAATGATACAGAGGGCCATACCAATATATGTATATCAGTGTTGTTTTACCACCTAATTAATGAACAAAAAGTGTTTAAGCAATGTCTTGTACTTCAATCTCATTCAGGTAACAAGTTTCTATTGTCAATAGAACTATACAAGGAAACAAACTTCAAAAATCCTCACAAGAAGAAAATTCCTTCTGTACAAGTTTGCCTCATCCAAACTATATTTTCTGTTTTAAAAAGTAACATTATTATCTTTAAATGAGTTCTATTATACCATATCACTATTAAGTAACTCATATTATAATTTTACAATTCAATTTTTTAAATATACTTAACATTATGACAACTTAAAAAATTAATTTAAATTATAATTAAATATTAATTTAATATATATAATTTTAAATCGTAAAAATCTGCACCAATAGTAACTTGAATTCAAATGGTTGCAAATTTTCTTTTAATATTATAACAGTCTAATTGCCTTTTTAATATATATTTTTATTCATTACTAGTAATTATTTTTACATGGTTACAAATTGTGTTCAGTTTTCAAATACTTTTATGATAATTAATATTTTTTTCTAATTTTCAAATGGTTAAAACATGAAAGAAAGGTTTGTTCCAATAGTTTCATCAACCCTAACAGAGAAAGTTAGAGCCTCCTCTTTGACAGCTTCGCTCGTGACTCAATTGTGCCTTCAAAAATTGTTTGGCTATTCTCGCCTACATGCGCTTCCACTGCCACTTCGACAAGGTGGTTTGCGGCGTGCTTGGTGCATGTGCCGTTGTGATTGTGGCACAGTTTGATGCATACATCGCCATTTGAAACTTGTTTGTATTTTCACAATATATGTCTGAGTATGAAATGTTCTTGTTGTGCATGTTGGGTTACATATTTCCCGTATCCGATTTATTTTGTTTTTTTTTTATGATTTTATCTTTTTCCATAATTTTGATTCATGATTTAATATTTGTTGGTTAGTGACTGTTATGTAGATGCAATCCCACGGGCATTGTCTTTAAGGCACAATCACTTAATTTTAAGGAACCGGTAAGATAACCGAGTCGGAGATGCTCTAATACAATAGGAGAAAGAGAAATTTTACGGTGTTCACTATAATTATGAGGTACTGAATAGTCATTTTATTTTTATTACCCATTAAAATTGAAAAACAAAATAATATTATAATAGATATTATATTAAGATATAAATTAAAAAATATAAAAATAATATAAAGATATAGATAAATTATTAAAAATATTAAATTAAAATAATAAAAAAAATAAGTAATTAAAAAAAATAAAAAATAAAAATAAAATAAGTGTTCCGGTACACTATAATTAGGTACACTATAATTATAGTGGGTACCGTCTCTAATAATAATATAACCTAAAACGTCACAAGATGTGAGCAACTCTCGTGCACTGCCATGCAAGAAATATTATATTTAGTGGGAAAGGAAGGCAAGGAAAATTTATTGCAGTTGACGCGTAGGTTTGTTCAAAGTCTTTCTAACTATGTTGTAGTATTTTATTCTAATTATGACAATATTGTCTTATTTAAAATCCCAATATTTAAAGGATTTGTCTTGAATATTTATGTCCTTCCTAACAACTATTCTATCACATACCAAATCTGTTCTAAGTACCCAATTTAATATGTATGTTAATCTTGTAACTTTTAAAATTTTTAAAATAATGATATTATTTGCAAAAATATCATCATATCCCATTTAAAATTGGTTGTCTAATAACAATTTTTAAATATCTTATTTTTACACCATTGAACTATTATGTAAATAAAACTGAGGTAGTACAAAACTAAAACGTGTTTTCGTGGAAGGAGTTTTGAGAAAAAACTATAAAATAAAACATGGGGCTGAATTTCTTAAAAAAATGATGAAATTTCGATGATTATAATTAATCATCCACGAATGTTGTGATCTATTGCCTATGAATGTAATAAACGATATATCGTAGTTATTTTGATTTTGGTTCTTTTTAATGAGTTTCCATCTTGTTTACACACCAAAAATGATTTAAGTTTATCGTAGTTATGATTTTGGTTTTTTTTAATGAGTTTCCATCTTGTTTACACACCAAAAATGATTTAATTAAATAAACTTGTATTAATAAAAATTATTTTTAATAAAAAAAATATTATTTTATAATTAAACATTTTTATCTATAATAATTAAACTTGTACTTTTTATCATGAGAAACATACAATAATAAAGGTATAAGAAAGTACCAAAACTCATTTACATACCACCCCTTCTCATATTAGATGTAATTTATCCATTAATAAGTATAAATTATAGGCTAACCTAAATTCATCTTCACATGTAAATATAAAACAAAATTCTCTCATTCTTAATTGTCTCTTTCCTTTTAAATTAGACTACCGTAAGGCATTTGACAGAAGTGTTGATATGCATATGCTAGTTAGACAATTTGAATAGCAATCTGAGTAATATTCATTTCACACAAAGTCAATCTTTTTGAAGGTGGTTGAACTCTTATTTTTGAAAAATCTATACCATATTAAATGAATATTAAATAATATCATATCACCTAATTTTCATTTCCATCTTGAGGCTTAGAGATAATGTTGAATTTAATTATTCATTATGAAAATGAATATGTAAATCCTTTTAAATAATTTTTCAATCAAATCAAAATTGCATATATACCTTAAATTTTGCATAGTAACTTATTGCTCAAAAAATTATGTCAAAAAATATGTACTTATTTCTATAGATTCACACCACCCAAACCATTCCATGGTGAACTTGTACTAAACAAATTGTGAAAATGAATTGAAGTTATACTAAATAAAAGGTTACAATACTCGCACCCTGAACAACTGTATGATTATACTCCATTGGTTTATAACTAAACATTTTATATGACAGTAACATTAATCATTTTATACATTTACATATTTTATATTTGTACATACGTGTACATATTCGTCCTTTTGTGCAAAGTCTTACCTAACATTTAGGCGTTGTTTCTTGGAAGCTTCCCATTTTGCTTTAAGAAATTTCAATCCAACTTCATGGTTTATTTAAATCGATTTCAAGAATCAAGGACTTGCACAACATAGGTCGTCTGACACAGGAATGTTTAGAATGAACCACGAAGGTGAAGAATAGATCATACTCCTTCTGGCTTGTGCACTACGTGTCAAAGTCTTTTTTTTTTTTTTTTTTGATTAGTTTTCTCAAAACTAGAATTACAGTTGACAGTACTAAAAAAACTCGAGTGAAAATTTGTAGTATCTCAAACAATACAGCTTCTCTGCTTAGCAAGAATTTCAACTCGACCTCATTTAAAAGTTTAGATAACAAATTATTAAACAAGATGTATATTATAGATAATATATGGTTATTATTCCTTAAAACACTTCGTCCAATAATTTACATTTTTTTGACCAGCACACGCGCTTTGTCATTTGTTTTAATAAAAAAAAAACTTGTCCTCCCTCGACTATCTTGCGAATACCATTCATTACGTTACACATTATTTTCAGCAAGTGAGTTTTCAGTTTTCACCTTCTGCAATGGCTTGCATCAGAAACCAAAGCAGTTCTTCATCACACACAAAGAATTTTGATGTGTTTGTGAGCTTTAGAGGTGCGGATACACGGAATAATTTCACTGGTCACCTTTTTGCAGCTCTTGAGAGGAAAAGTATTGATGCCTTCAAAGATGACCAAAAAATCAAGAAAGGGGAATTCTTGGAACCTGAGCTCTTGCAGGCAATCGAAGGATCACGTGTTTTCATTGTTGTCTTCTCAAAGGACTATGCATCATCCACATGGTGCATGAAAGAGCTCCAAAAGATCGTTGATTGGGTTGAAAAAACTGGTCGAAGTGTTCTCCCTGTTTTCTATGATGTCACTCCTTCCGAAGTTCGAAAACAAAGTGGAAAGTTCGGAGAAGCTTTTGCTAAACATGAAGAAAGGTTTAAAGATGATTTGGAAATGGTACAAAAATGGAGGGAAGCTCTGAATGCAATCACAAATCGTTGTGGGTGGGATGTACAAAATAAGTAAGTATTTGGCCATACTTTTTGGTACTATACATACAATTTTATTTTTTGAAAGTTGTAGCCCTTAATAAAGCTTTGGTGTTTTTGTTCTACTACTGTTTTCAGGCCACAACATGAAGAAATTGAAAAAATTGTTGGGGAGGTAATAAATCTATTAGGTCATAATCATATTTTTAGTTTTGAAGATGATTTAGTTGATATGGACTATCGTGTGAAACAATTGGAGGAACTTCTAGATCTTGAAGATGATAAAGTTGTTCGAGTCATAGGGATTTGTGGGATGGGTGGAATAGGAAAGACGACACTTGCAACTGCTTTGTTTAATAAAATTTCTCCTCAATTTGATGTTTGTTGTTTCATAGATGATATAAACAAGATTTATGAGGATTTTGGATCGACAGGATTGCAAAAACAACTTCTTTGTCAAGCTCTAAACCAAGGAAATATAGAGATAAATAATACTTTCCATGGAACCATGTTGGTAAGGACTAGGTTATGCCACTTAAAGGCACTTATTTTTCTTGATAATGTTGATCAAATTGAACAGTTAGAGAAATTGGCTTTACATCCTAAATATCTAGGTGTAGGGAGTAGGATCCTCATAATCTCTAGAGATAGCCATATTTTAAGAAATTATGGAGTGAATGAAGTTCACAATGTTCAATTATTAAATGCAAATAAAGCTCTTCAATTATTTTGCAGAAAAGCTTTCAAATCTGATGATATTTTGAATAATTATGAAGAGTTAACATATGATGCACTAAAATATGTTGGTGGCCTTCCTTTAGCAATTAAAGTGTTAGGCTCAGATTTGTTTGATCGAGACATTTATGAGTGGAGAAGTGCATTGGCTAGACTAAAAGAAAATCCAAACAATGATATTATGGATGTGTTACGAATAAGTATTAATGGGTTGAAGGAAATGGAAAAGGAAATATTTCTAGATATTGCATGTTTCTTTTCTAGTGGAACTAGAGAAGAAAAATATTCTTATTGGTATTGGATAAGAAATGTGGAGAGACTTCTAAACTATCGTGGATTTTATCCTGAGATTGGTATAAAAGTTCTCATTGAGAAATCACTCATAAGTTGTAAAAATAACAGAGTTCAAATGCATGACTTATTGAAAGAGTTGGGTAGGACTATTGTCCAAGAAAAATCACCAAAAGAGCCAAGAAAGTGGACCAGGCTTTGGGATGGCAAGGATCTTCATAACATCATGATAAAAAATATGGTAAAATGGTTTTAGAATACAACATATTATGTTGTTTGAATTATTATAAAAGAATCTAACATTTTTTGTTTCTTTTTCCAATGATTTAGGAAGCCAAAAATCTTGAAGCCATACTTATTGAACAACATCCACTAGAGTTACAAGAAACAACATTGCCGACGAACGCTCTATCAAAAATGAATCATCTTAAGTTGGTCATACTTGAAAATATAAATTTTTCAGGAAGTCTCGATTATCTTTCAAATGAATTAAGATATGTATATTGGAAAAAATATCCTTCCAGATGTTTGCCATCAAGTTTTTATCCGGACAAACTAGTAGAATTGTTCTTGCCTTATAGCAATATCAAACAATTATGGGAAGGAACAAAGGTACCATATTATTTGTTTTCAACTTTCTTTGTCTTTAAACGAACAAATATAAAGATATATTATAATCAATTTGTTTGTAACTTTCTTAAATATAATTAAAGAAACACAAGAAAGGTTAAATGCCATTAATTTTGTCTCCTGACCAAAACAAGAAAGAGATTATCGTATTTTCTTGTTAGCAAAGGAAAACTAACAGATATATATAGTAATTTTTATTACTTTTATCTATTTTGCAGTATCTGCCTAATTTGATAAGGCTAGATCTCAACAACTCCAAAAATCTTACTGAGATGCCAGACTTAAGAGGAGCCCCACGTCTTAAGTATCTCGATCTTAGCGGATGTATAGAAATTGTGCGGATCGATCCATCCATTGGTATTCTAAGAGAACTTGTTTCTTTGAGTTTGAGAAATTGTAAAAAGCTTTTCATCAATCTGAATATCATTTTTGGACTCAATTCTCTTAAGGGGCTAGATCTCGCAGGTTGTTCAAAATTACTTAATAATAGACTACCAAAGAAACCAAAGGAGACAGAACATTTGGAAAAGGTTGAAACAAATAGAAGTGTTATCCAATTATCAACATCCTCTATATATGAAATTCTAATGTCACCTTTCAATTTCCTTTCCAATCGCAAAAATAAAGATTCACTTGGTTTGCTGGTGCCTTATTTGTCTCGTTTCCCATGTTTGCTTGGTCTTGATCTGAGCTTCTGCAATCTACTTCAAATCCCTGACGCTATTGGTAACTTACATTCTTTAAAAACATTAAATATGGGGGGAAACAAATTCGTGAGACTACCTACTACCATCAAGGAACTTTCAAATCTTGATCATTTAAATTTGGAACACTGCAAACAGTTGAAATATTTGCCTGAACTTCCAACAATAAAAGAACAAGAACGTGGCAAATATGTTAGGGAATTATTTATTTTTAATTGCCCAAATTTGAGTGAAATGGAACATTGTTATCATATTGCTTTTAGTTGGATGACACAAATCTTTAAGGTATAGACTCCATCCTTCCTTTCTTTATCTTACTTTTTTCTATGTCTACACTAATTATACATATTAACAAAAAAATTTGGTGTCAGGCTTTATTGGAATCCTCTCTTTCCTTGGTTAACATTGAGATTATCATTCCTGGAACTCAAATTCCATGGTGGTTCAATAAACAAAATGTGGGTAATTCAATAAGCATGGACCTATCTGTTGTTATGGAAGACCCAAATTGGATAGCTATTTCCTGTTGTGCTATGTTAGTGGCATGTCATGATGATTCTGCTGATTTGAATGATAGATGGCAACTTGATTATGTAACTACTGGATACAGTTTTCAAAATAATCAAGTTTTGGGTAATACATATTGGGCAATTTCAATAGCTGTAAACGATGATCTGATCATGGGTGAAATAGATCACTTGTTCATATTGTTTCTTTCTCGGGAAAGTCTCATTCATCATCTAGATCCATATGAAGACGAAATGATTGATCTTGATAAAATAGGATTCACAATTGGCATATTTAATCTGCCTAAAGATTTGCATTTTGAGGTGAAAAATTGCGGGTATCGTTGCGTATTTAAGAAGGATCTTGAACAATTAAACCTAAACACGATGTTCGGCGGAAATTTTTCATCTATGCAAGCTTTTAACAAGTGATTAGCCACACATCATTCATTGAGCTTATTCATGGAAAGCGTAGAAATCTCTTTTCAACCACAATTCCATCAAAGAAATACTAATCCATTTGAGGTAAGATTTAATACAGTAAAGTACAAATATTATTATAAATTTTATAGTCATTTATAAATACTCTGTTTTTATATCTTATATTGTTGATATGGTTTTCTTTTTTCCATTATCTTTCCAGGGTAAAGTTAATCTTACTCGGGAACATTGTTAAAATTGATAGTATAAGCATATTTGGTCTTGGATTGTCATGAGTTGTAAACTATGATCCATAGCCAATTGTCAAGATTTCAAGAAAAATAACGTACGGTATAAATTTTAATATAACTAACTTAAAGTATAAGTTTCTAATAATGATCCTTTTCTTTTTGCTTGAGTTAAATGTGATAATCTAACTCCTTTTTTCAATTTACCAAAGCGAATTATTTGATATATATGGGAAGCCCTTCTTGTTTCCAATTGCAAGTATTACCAGAGCCACCAACCTTCAATTTTGGAGAAAAATGATCTCATGTATATTTGGACGAGGGATTTTAGAAATTTAAAGAATTTAAAACTTTTGAAATTTGAATTATTTTAATTTCAATGTTTATCATTTTTTAAGTATTTTATTTGGATACATCAATTCAAATTTCTTAAATTTTGAATTATTATTTTAGATATAATAATTTAATTTTCATTGTACATAAAATTGATTTTAAATATATATATATATTGACATTTTAAGATTAAGTTTTCTAAGAATAAATATTACTTATTTTTTTTAAAATATTTAATAGTTTTAAAAATTAATAATAGATAATATTTAATAATTTAAAAATATTTTTGAATATTTAATAATTAAGAGATAAGAGAGAGAGAAAAGATATATAGGTGAGATAAGAAAGAAAAAAAATATGAAGAATTTTAAATTATTTTTTGTGAAAGAATATAAATTTAAGAAATTTCACAAATATTTGAATTTCAATTTTTTTTTTATAAATTTTTCGTCCAAATAAAGTATTTTGTCCTAAGTTATTTGAAATTCTTTAAAAAAAAGAATTATTCCATTTAAATTATTTATTCAAACATACTCCGAATGAATTGTTGGATTCAAGGCTGGTTCAGTAAGTGATTATGTTTTTGGAACTGAATTGAATTTTTGCATATGGTCTTTACCTAATTAACTAGTTTTCCATTTTTGGCAGAACTCAATCCACCTATTGGATTCAAGCTCAATCCCGGCCCATTTTTAAAGAGAATGGATCAAGAATGAGGAGTTGTACAGTTGCACTCGTCTAAGGTGCTCCATTAGCCATTGTGGATTTGGATCTTGAGCTAAAGACACTTGTTAATAAGTCTTGATGTTTTTAACTAATATAATTGATCAAATCATCAATAAGGAAGATTAACTGTGCTTATTAATTCATCATAATTACGATTAACTCCCATCTATTATCATATTCATCAAATTAAATCTTTTGTATCTAAAGTTTCTAATAAGCCTTCTATGGTTCCTAAGTTTACAAAATTCATTTTAAGTGCATGCTTCTGTAAAATTTGATCAATTTTCAAATAGTGCATTTAATTCATTTATCAATACTTGGTGGCACTTAACGTTTATATGCATTATATTAACAATCATTTCACAAGTTATACATTGAAACATGAATGTTTTCCCTTTCCAAGTGTACCACAAATAACAGAGAAAGAAGAAAGCGGGAGAAAGGAGCAAGGAATTATGTTGGTGAAGATTCAAATAAATATTTTGGGTATTGGTTATTCACTCCTCTTTCTACAAGCTGGAAACTACTCAAAGTGAATTCCACATTTTGGGAACATGAGGTAAAGAAAAATATATAATGTATTTTGAAGAGATTAGAATTATGTTTCCGGAATTCAGAAACTTTTTTCAGGTTGTTAAAATCAACACAAGTTCATTAACTATATAAAACGAAAATTAAACACGTGATCTTGTGTAAAGGGATGATCAGTTACTTCAGTTGTAATTAATTGCCATTATGTAACTTCTATCCAGTGTTAGAATTTCAGTTAGATGGTTAAACAAAATTCTGTCAGTACTTTATATACATATACTCCTTTGTCATTATGTTTCTGTATCATTAAACAATTCTTTAATAAAATATTCAATGTTCACTCTCATGATCTTTAACTTAGTACTTCACTTATCTCCTATATATATGTTATGGTTATGATATTATTGGGATACAAACAAGTCCCACATCGATAAAATAAGACAACAATTAACAACTTATATAGCATAAACATACTTCAATGATTAAGAGGTCTTTTGATTATAAAAAATAACCCTCATAAAATATCTCTTCAGACAAGTACCATAAAATAACCCAACAGTAATCAATATCTTAACTCATAATAACCATACTCATTTTTCATTGCTTAGTAATTGATTCATAAGTACAATGGTTCATGCAGGTGATACAGTGATATACACGACCAATAGCAGGAATCAGTGGTTAAAACTTAAAACAGATATGTAGAATTGAAAATAGTATAATGGAGTCCAACTTTGATAATTATGCAGTCGGGTAAGATGCTTGCATGGCTATGCCACAGAGTCCTTCAGCAGCACTCACGCCCCTTTGCATCCTAATGTACCCTTCTTCCCCCCATTCGGTTCCCCATGAGTTCTTAACCAACCAATACTCAGTCCCATCACTAACACCATAACCCACAGCAGTAACACCATGATCCAACTCAGTTCCACATGAACCTGTGAAAACACCACTTGTGTAAAACTGAAAGTCAGAGCCACTGGCATCAATGGCTACAGAAACTGGTTGATTTGCCACAGCCTTTTGCAGTGCCTTCTCATTGTTGGCAGGAACATCCTCATACCCAGTAATGGTAGCAGCATCGTTGCCTGCTTCATTTGCATTGCACTTTCCATCAACACCCTCATACGGGTACTTGGCTTCTGTGTTGAGTCCATGGTTTTGGATGATGAATTTGAATGCATCATCCATAAGACCACCTTCACAACCTTGGTCTACACCCTTTGTGTCACAATCAACAATTTCTTGTTCTGATAAAGAGATCAATTTTCCACTACTCAGTTTATGAATTCCTTCAGTTGCTGCAACAGCAGAAAACGCCCAGCAACATCCTGCAAGACAAATTAATTGTTAGATAACAATCATTCAATTTAATTTGACTTGAGAAATGAATTATCAAGCTCTTACCACATTGGCCTTGGTCCTTGATAGGTGTAACTGCTCCTTTTTGTCTCCAATCTATAGAAGATGGTACTGCAGTCACATTTTCATACTTGAAAGTAGTTGTCCTTATTATTGAGGAACACATGTGCCCCTTGAATCTATTTCTTGGTGCTATGAACTCCTCGTTCGTGAGGTCTGCAAATTTATTGATGCCTAACTTGTAAGGTTTATTGGCAGCATTGTTGAAGGCTTCAATGTAATTCACATTGTCCTTGAATATCCTGAAACGCTTTTCCCTTTCCTGAGGGTCCTTATACACTTTGCCATAACGAAGCATCCATTGCTCATGCCTCGGATACATGGAGGCATCTTGAAGAGTGCGAGATGAGACTTGAAGAGCCCAGAATGCCATGCACAAAAGCATTGCCAATAAAATATGATACAAATGATTTTTGGCAACCATGGTGGCTAGTAGTGTAGTGTGACAATTATGGGAAGAGTTGCTTCAGGTTGGTTAATGAAATGTGAGAAAGATGTGTTGTGGTGGTACCAAGATTATTTGTGACATTTATAGGAAAGTTAACGTTGAATCGTAATTTAATGTTTTTGTTTTCAACTAAAATCTGGAAGCACCTTTGTGTAAATGATGTACCAATGAGAGAATATGTTTTGAATAGTAGTGTTGTATACATGTGTATGTTACTCCCGACAAATTGTTTGTCAAGCTTAACGTAGTCGTAGAGGCACTGGCATATATATTTTTATTATTATTTATTTTCGGTGTATGAGAGGCACTGACTGGCATATGGTGCCAGAGTAGTTTTCAAAAGGATGCCTTGTGTGTGTTTATAATAATTATAAATATAAAGGTTTCAAATTTTTTGTTAATTTCATGTCCATGCATATTGCTAACAACTGAATAATAAATTTGTATTCTTCCAGCGTTCCCAATATATTTTCCGAGTGTACCAAAGTAAAGGGGCATTTATTCACCCAAAAAGAAAGGGTAAAGGGACATTTTAATGGACAATTTGCAAAAGAATAAATTTATATTTCAACGGTGCAATGAGAAAATTTGGTTACTTTGAACTTTAAGTATCAATATTAAATTAACATATATTTTTCTCTATTTATGATCCACATATATTATAAAATATATTGTTGAGATTTGTCGAGAATTAATGTACTTTTAATGCCTACTTTTTTTTACATATCTATAATAAAATAACTATAAAAAATACTATTTATAAAGTTAAAATATATAGAGTTAAATATGTTTTTAATCCTTACAAAATGAGAATGTTTTGATTTTGTTCCCTATAAATTCTTTATTATTTATTATCCATCTAAAATTTGAAACTGTTGTTTTAATTTTTATCATTATGTAATCATTTTAAGCTACGTTCTTATGTGTTCATCTGAAGAATATGTGACCATCACAAGAAATATTCATAATTATTTATGATACTTTATCTATATGTGAAATTTCTATAAAAAAAATGCATAAATCCTTAAAATAAGTGTTATATATACTTTAAAATGGTTATTAAAAACCAAATATAATGAATTTAATATTTTGAGGGATGAAAATTAAAAAGAATATTTTACAGAAATCAAAATAAAAAATTTCTTATTTTACAAGAATTAAAAACGTTTACAAATTTTAAAAGAATGAAAAACAAAGAAAATTTTTCACAAGAATTACCAAGATCAAAACTTGCTCATTTTACAAAGATTAAAACATATTTAAATCAAATATATAAGATGGTATTTATAGAGAAATAAAATATTATATCAAAATTCATTAATTAATTATATTAACATAACTTGAATTGGTTAGAACTCCACAAGAAAGAGGGGTTGAATTGTGACTAAGCCATTTTCATGAAACTTTTACCCTTATGAACTTCCACTCAAGTTATCTTGGGGTTCAGAAGAACTACACATAAATAGTTTAGTTATTTAGAAGGATAATATATCATTATTCATGAATTCATGTTCATGAGATTATAAATGTTTCTTATATGTATAACTCAAAACCCTATGTTTATGCTTAGAACATCATTTATAAATCAAAAGTATTTATCATAAAATTGATGTTATAAAGTCATTACTTCATAAATCTCGTTACATGAAGGAAAAAAAAATGGTGCCTATTGTTAAGAGTGGTAATTGACAAGAGGAGAAAGTGCGAGTGCAGCCCTTGTCCCGGAAGGACCGACGTACCTCATTGGACTTAGGAGGAACAGAACACGATTTGCACTATTAAGGTTTAGTATTCAAAAGGCCTTTGTATTATTTATTATATTCAAAAAGATATAGTTCAACATACTATTTTTGTTCATAAGTATATTCAACCCTCAGAAGGTTCTTCAACACTTAGAAGGTTGTTGTGCTGATGGTTATGCTCAAAATGTATCAAAACTCTTATGATGCAAATGCAATATTGTTAAGTTAAAAGAGGATTTTAGATCCCTCAAGTTATAAGTTTTGTTGATAACAAACATAAAAGTTTTTCTAGAGAAAAGTTCTTCAAATTATTCACTAGGATGAATGCACTAAGACAATCGGTTATCTTAGCATAAAAAGACTAACATATGAAATACTTCATCTATAAGACATTTATTTTGAATTCATATTTTTTAAGATGTTTGATAATTAAATCAATCTTTGTGAATATGATTTCTTAACAAATCAAAATAAATAACTTCCTTGGTACCCACAATAACAAAAGAGAAGGAAGACATGTTTTTCATTATAAAAAGACAAGCAAATCTCTTGAATCACAAAAATTCTCAAAAAAAAAAGTTTTTTTGAACTAATACACACATGACTCCACGTATTTAGTACTTAAAAGGTGATAAGTAACTTCCTTAATCAGATAAGAAATAATAATTTAGTGAAATGCATTTAATGCAAGCAAGTAATGCACCGAAGAAAACTTTTCTCTACAAGGAACAAAAATTGAAGATAAACGAAACAAGTTTGTGAGAAACACTCAAAGATTTGTGATAGTCATCTTCATGAAGCACCTATATAAAGAAGCTTGAAAATCCTAAAAGATGACAATGAAGAATAAATATTCATTGAAAAATGTATTCATTCTTTATATTTATAAACCTTGTACCTAATATTGTTGTATCACATCTTGAAAGTAAGACGAACAACAATTATCTTACCTAACTTTAACTTTATGTTATTGTGTTGAGTCTAGAGAGACTTAATTGTAAAAAAATATTTGTTTAAGCCTAAAGAGCTTATCTGCAAATGAATATTTGGTTGTTTAAAGTCTGAAGAGGCTTTATGTTAAAAAAATACTTGTATAATTTTTTTGAAGAGACAAGTTAAAAAATAATTAAGTTGAGTCAGAACTAGCTTGTGAAATAATACTTATATCTTTACAAAATATTGTGAAATTTGATTGGGTTTGATCAAGAACTGAAGGCAATAAATTAATTTAGAAGGCGTAATTTGTGTAGCATCTCACTTGTTATAAATAAATTAATAAAAAAAACTAGTTACAAGAACAAAGCTCTCTTATTTTTTATTTTTTTTATTTACAACAAAGCCGTTATCTCTTGATAAAAAAAACCTTCTTGGTTTGTTTCTAATTTTCATGTGCCGGGCACTTTGGCGCGACTTGGACTTTTCTTAATTAAATACTACAGACGTGTGAAAAATCATTAATTCTCAGTTATGTATTTTGTTCGGAAGTGTGAGACTTTTCATTTGGTTATGCTTTGGCAATTTGCCTGCACGAAGTTAATAAAGTTTTCAAACCTCCATTTTTAAGTTTTATAATTCCAAACTTTTCCAAAACGGAAATTCACTTTGAGAAGTACTTTGACAATTAATTGGCACCGTATGTCGATCGAACCTCTACGTTAAGCTTGACAAGACAAGTAATTGTCCATAGTACAAAGGGTCTAATTCAGAAATGAGTTGAATATAAGAGAAAGGTCCCTTGTGATTTGAGTTGAAAACAAAAAAAGGATTAATTTACAATTCAACGACAAAGTTTCTATAAATGCCACAAACAATCTCGTTACCACCACAACACATCTTTCTCACATTTCATTAACCAACCAGCAATTGTTCCATAATTGTCACACTACACTACTAGCAACCATGGTTACCAGAAATCATTTGTATCATATTTCATTGGCAATGCTTTTGTGCATGGCATTCTGGGCTGTTCAAGCCACATCTCGCACTCTCCAAGATGCCTCCATGTATGAGAGGCATGAGCAATGGATGCTTCGTTATGGAAAAGTGTATAAGGACCCTCAGGAAAGGGAAAAACGTTTCAGGATATTCAAGGATAACGTGAATTACATTGAAGCTTTTAACAATGTTGCCAATAAACCTTACAAGCTAGGCATTAATCAGTTTGCAGACCTCACCAATGAGGAGTTCATTGCACCAAGAAATAGATTCAAGGGCCACATGTGTTCCTCAATCACAAAATCAACCACTTTTAAGTATGAAAATGTAACTGCAGTACCATCCTCTATAGATTGGAGACAAAAAGGAGCAGTTACACCCATCAAGGACCAAGGCCAATGTGGTAAGTGCTTGATAACTCATTTTCCAGTCAAATTATATTGAATGATTATTATCTAACTATTAATTTGCCTTGCAGGATGTTGCTGGGCATTTTCTGCTGTTGCAGCAACTGAAGGAATTCATAAGTTGAGTACTGGAAAATTGATCTCTTTGTCAGAACAAGAAATTGTTGATTGTGACACAAAGGGTGTGGACCAAGGCTGTGAAGGTGGTCTTATGGATGATGCATTCAAATTCATCATCCAAAACCATGGACTCAACACAGAAGCCAAGTACCCCTATGAGGGTGTTGATGGAAAGTGCAATGCAAATGAAGCAGGCAACCATGCTGCTACCATTACTGGGTATGAGGATGTTCCTGCCAACAATGAGAAGGCACTGCAAAAAGCTGTGGCAAATCAACCAGTTTCTGTAGCCATTGATGCCAGTGGCTCTGACTTTCAGTTTTACAAAAGTGGTGTCTTCACAGGTTCATGTGGAACTGAGTTGGATCATGGTGTTACTGCTGTGGGATATGGTGTTAGTGACGGGACTGAGTATTGGTTGGTTAAGAACTCATGGGGAACTGAATGGGGTGAAGAAGGATACATTAGGATGCAAAGGGGAGTGAGTGCTGTTGAAGGACTTTGTGGCATTGCAATGGAAGCTTCTTACCCAACAGCATAATTATAAAATTTGGACACTATTATACTATTTACAGTTCTACATATTGTTTTTAACTTTTAAGCATTGATTCCTGCTATTTCTGTGTATATCACTGTATCCCCTGCGTGAATCATTGTATTTACCTATCAATTACTATACTATGAAAAATGAGTAATGGCCATGAGTTATATGACTTACAAGCTAATGGTATTAAAAGCATGATTGTAAAGATTATGTAGACATTGGTTGGATACTTTGCTTGAACCAGCCATGAAAATAATATAGGGAAGAACAAGAAAAGTAAAGAGATAAAAATTTGTTTAGGTTTTTTTTATTTTATATTTGTGTTTTATAATAGCCTGTATAATCACTTTTATTTATAAAACTCGTGTTAGTTGTTTTTACATTTTACCTTTGTTCCTAAAAAGGAGTAACTTGATCCATGTTTTGTAACTTTTACACAAGTAAATTTAGAAATTCAACTGTGAGAGAATGATAATTAAAGGACGAACTGCAGTACATAAATAAAATTAGGCTAAAACTGCAAGGGAGGAATAAATTCAGGGGACTTATTTCCTTTTCACTCTTTAATAAATATAGTAGGTTAATAGTTATTGAATAAACATCTTAAAGAGATGAGAGAATACGTTATATAATCATAGAAATAAAATAAAATATTCTCATTATCTTTATCTGTAGTAGAAATTATTTTGAGTTAAAAAAATGTGGAATCAATAGTTCATCGATTTGATTTACTGCTTCTATATTGTTCATGGTTAAAGACAAAAGGTTTACGAAAAATTTTAATATTACATCACATTAGCTTCACCAACTTTAATATCTAAATAGCACTCCTAGAATCTGTCTTTCACGATATTTTGACCAATAATAAGAAAGTAACTCTGATCACAAGAAAAATGATATAATGAATTTGGCTCGGTCCTATTTGTAAACTTGGTTTGTGTCCCTTTTTTTTCTGCTAAAACGTCTCAAATTCTTATAATTTAAGTATTTGAGTTTATGATGCATTTGGGAAATCAAATAGAAGTTTAGAAGTTGGTAATTTAATAAAGTTTTGATAGAATTAAACGGATATTCTTTTACATGTAAGATTCTTTTGAAGAAATAAAGATACATGAGTTTTTTTAGTATTATTTAAAATAACGTTTGATTTTTTTTTTTTGGTGATTTTTATGTAAAAGAAAGTTTAAAATGATTTAATTGATTCGATATGTAAATTTTTTTTATAGAAACTAAATTTGAGAGTTTTATGTATTTGAATATCAATGAAAAGAAACCGTTATATTTAACTTTAAAGATAGAAGAATTTAATTTGCTAAAAAAATATTAACTTATATATATTAAATACGAACTTCTATCTTGTACAAGAATATTTGTAGGAAGTTTCTTTGACAAATGAACTTTTAAACTCTTTTTTAATTTTTTATCTAATTCGATTTTATTTATCATAATTATTTATGAATTAAGTTTTAGTATTTTGAAATAAATTATCAATAAATAAAAATAATATTATGCTATAATATAAATTATTTATCATAAATCTAAAATATAATTTATATATTATTTTCATAAAAATATATAATTTATATGTTTAAAATTATTTATTTATATAAATTTTAAATATGATTTATATATATATATATATATATATATATATAATTTAATAAATTTTAATTATATATAATAAATATTTGTATATTGAAGAAGTTAAAAGGTTAATTAAACAAAAATGAAAACTACAATTAAGCCTATAAATTATCATTTGTGTAATTCTGTTTCATGACAAGAATTTGAAGTGCATGCACAACACGAGAAGTCCAATTCCTAACACATCACACGCCAATGAGGCAATGAGGTAAAACATTCTATTATGAATTTGTTTGGATATAAGTTTGAAAATATTTTTGAAGTCTTTTTACCTAAATAATAAAGAATTATTTTGGATAGAGATGTTCTAAAAACACTTCTAGATTATAGACTCTAAATTTGATTCCTCTGAATTTAAGATCTCCTTATATGCGACCAATAGAGTATCAGTTTAACGACAATAAACTGAATCAAAGATTGGGCTTGTTCAAATGAATATTTCTTAATTATGAATGAGCCTTGGTTGCACAGAATATTCTCATGTGTCAAGCCAAACTCTTGATAAGTAGACAACTTTGACATCCATATGTTTAACAAGGCATTCCTCGTTTAACAACATATGAATATAACGACAAGTAAAGGGTCAGTCTGAGTATGTATGTACTACTTGGTGTTCTGCAAACGTTTCTTTTAGACTTCCACTTAGACGTTTAATGGGTGTTCTTTCCCTTAAGGCTAATTTGAAGTTAGTCTTGCCATTTTGCTATGATTCGATTTGGGTGTCAAATGTAAAAATAATATTCACGTTTTTGTACATGGAGTTTCCTTGATTAGAAATTATTAGATAAGTTTATCATCATAATCAATTTTTACATGACATATATTTAATTTTTTAATTTAAGAAAAAAGTTAATAATACTTAATTATTCATCATGTGGACTTGTTAGAGATAAGATATACGATCTATAGTTCTACTAAATTTTTTTGAAGAGATTGATGATTGATTTACTCTATTCTGAACTTCTTTAAACTTTGTATAGAATTATGTTTTACTCTATTCTAAACTTCTTTGTAACAAAAAAAAAAAAAAATAGAATCTACTTGTCATATAAAAACTAATTAGAGACCATAACGTTCTTCTTTACATGTAACTTGTCTTGAGTACGTTGTCACTACACTACACATGGTTCTCATTCAGCAAATTCTCTCTGCTTCAAAAGTTGAAAACTAAAACGTTTAGTTTATGATTCAACGTGAACTTTCGTATATATACCTCAAACGATCTCGAGTACCACCACAACTTCTTCCTCACATCTCAGTAATCAACCCGAATTAATTGTTCTCACTATCACATACACCTACCATGGTTACCAAAAATAATCAGTTCCATCATATCTCAATGCCATTGCTTTTCTGTTTGGCATTCTTGGCTTTTCAAGTCACATCTCGCACTCTCCAACTCCAAGATGCGTCCATGCACGAGAGGCATGAGCAATGGATGGCTCGTTATGGCAAAGTGTATAAGAACTCTCAGGAAAAGGAAAAGCGTTTCAGGATATTCAAAGACAATGTGAATTACATTGAAACTTTCAACAATGCTGCTAATAAACCTTACAAGCTAGGCGTTAATCAATTTGCAGACCTCACCAATGAGGAGTTTAGAGCACCAAGAAATGGATTCAAGAGCCATATGAGTTCATCAATCACAAGGACAACCCCTTTTAAGTATGAAAATGTGAGTGCAGTACCAACCACTGTGGATTGGAGGCAGAAAGGAGCAGTAACACCCATCAAAGACCAAGGCTCATGTGGTAATTAGTGGTTGATTATTCATTGGCATTCCCAAGTCCAATTAAATTGAATATATGATTATTATCTAACTATTACTTTACCACGTAGGATGTTGCTGGGCTTTTTCTGCTGTTGCAGCAACAGAAGGAATTCATGGGATAAGCACTGGAAAATTGATCTCTTTGTCAGAACAAGAACTTGTTGATTGTGACACAAAGGGTATGGACCATGGCTGTGAGGGTGGTTATATGGATGATGCTTTCGAATTCATCATCCAAAATCATGGACTTAACACTGAAGCCAGTTACCCCTATAAGGGTGTTGATGGAAAATGCAATGCAAAGGAAGAAGCTATCCATGCTGCCACTATTACTGGGTATGAAGATGTTCCTACTAACAATGAGAAGGCACTACAAAAAGCTGTGGCCAATCAACCAGTTTCTGTAGCCATTGATGCCAGTGGCTCTGGCTTTCAGTTTTACAAGAGTGGTGTTTTCACAGGTTCATGTGGAACTGAGTTGGATCATGGTGTCACTGCTGTAGGTTATGGTGCCAGTGAAGATGGGACAAAGTATTGGTTGGTTAAGAACTCTTGGGGAACTGAGTGGGGTGAAGAAGGTTACATTAGGATGCAGAGGGATGTGAATTCTGACGAAGGACTCTGTGGCATAGCTATGCTAGCATCTTATCCCACTGTGTAATTATAAAATTTGGACACCACATGAATTATTCTACTATCTGTTGTGTAGATCAGTGTAACGTAAACTCACATGAATTAGAGTGTGTTAACTCACATGAATTAGAGTGTGTTTATTTTTCCGTTTGATACATGTAAACGTGAGTTCATTTTAAAGTATCAAGATTACCGATTATACAAACACACACTTATTGTACTTGCACCCTATAATTATGAAACGAAAACATTAGTCATGGATATGAATTATGATACACGAGTTTGATTTAAGCTTTATGAAGTGATTTAATTTCTAATGATTTTATGAAGGTGCATTGTTTATGTATTTATTTAATTTAACGACTTTTTGCCTCTGGCGCCATAGAGATAACAAACTACCTGTTATAAAACTCTGAATTAACGCGCGCGAAATAGCGGTATAAAAGGAGCCGTTTCCCGCTCGCTCTTTCTGTTTTGAAAGAATGGCGGAAGAATTTTCAACGCACTCGCAAGCGAACTCCACGAAGAAACGACCTTCGAAGAGCGACAAATTGTGCCTTGAGGATTATCTTCACCTCCTTCAATCTCGTCAAACGCTTCACCTCACCATGAATCAGCTCAATCAGGTTTTCCATTCATTCTATGCATTTTTCAATTCGCATTTTCGAATCTGCAAACTCTGCAATTCAATTTTCTGCCTCCGACTACCACAGGTCATCCGTATTCACGGATTCAAGAAAATCCACCACGCGCCTAAGGTTCTAATCTCCGTCTCGCTAATTTTAGGTTCCATTTGGTTGCATAGAAAAACATTGCTCATTGTCACTGTTTTTGCCTTAAGTTTTTTATTCGTTAATAAAAACTCGTTTAGATTGTTCTCGAATAGATTTTCGTTTCGAGAAATTGCGGGTAAAAAAAAAAACAGAAAAAAACCTATCTCGATTCCGTGCGCAGAAGGTGTTGGTGGACGCCGTGGAGTCGCTGGATCTGGTGGATCTGCCGCGGTCGACGCTGCGCGAGAGTGTGACGGCGTTCGCGGCGGTGGCGCTGGAGGACGTGGTGGCGGATCTCGGCGAGCTCAACTGGCAGGAGTGCTGCGTCACCTCCGTCGAGAAGGTGAGTTTCGGCGACGGCCAGAGCGCGTTCCCTGCTTCCTCCGATCAGAGCCTCCGCGTGATGAGCCACACGCAATCGCAGGCTCAGAGATCAAAGAGGATCGACGAAATCCGTGACCTAATCCCGGAGGCTTTCAGGAGAAGCCTGAAAGCCGCGAAAATGGTGCCAAAGCGTAAGAGGAGCAGCGTTCCCGCTCTCGACTCCGTTGCCTCAAACGTGGATTCCGCTTCTCTCGCTTCATGCTGAACGAATGATTGACCTTTGGTTCCTTCTATCACTCTCTATCTCTTTTCCGTTATAATATGAAAAAATGTTAGTGTTTTCAACGCTTTATACCATTTAAATTGAAATTGGACTATATATGACTAAGTAAAATGGTACATAGGAGAGTGGAGATGATATGGTATGATACTTCATATCAATGTTATTGGTTCAGTGAGCCCCTAAATCAGGAGATTCTCAAGGGTTTTTCGTGTTTTAGTTACAATCATCATTCTGACCCCAAATGTGTTTCAAGAAAATGGCATGTGTTTTCCCTTTGAATTAGACTCCCATAGTTTTCCTCACTGGCCTCTTTACTTTATTTGCTTTCTATATTCCACATTTTATGGTAACATAAGTAGTAACGATTGGAAGTGAAAATAGTATGCAAGTATGAGCCGATAATTATAGCAGTGTCTTCTTTTGTTGTTACAGCAACGTTCATTGGAATGGAACAAGAAATAGACTGAAACAGGACTGCTTAGAGAATCCTCCACGGGCAGGAGGTAAAGCTTAGGGATGAAATAGTCCATCTCTAGATGCCACACAAATAAATAAAACAGACCATGGTATTGCAGAGTGTAGTTTCTTTCCCTCCTGGAGGGAACTGTGGCCAATCAACAGGAAACAATAACAATACAAACTAGTATCTAGAAACCCCACAAAAAAAAATATAAAAAAAAAAAAAAAAAAAAAAAAAAGACCATGGTATTGCAGAAGGGTAGTTTCTTTCTCTCCTGGAGGGAACTGTGGCCAATCAACAGGAAACAATAACAATACAAACTTGTAGATAGATAATACAAAGATGTATTATCAGCCCTCAATGTTTCGTTCCTAAAAACGTGTGTCAAATCCCACGGTGTCACCAGCTATCAGCCTTACTTACAATGTATTGAGGTGAATAAATTAAAGCAGTCACAAACAGAAATGAGAAAGATTTTGAAAGCAACCCTAAATAAAATAATTACTTACATCTGCAGCCTCATATTTCACACCCTTGACTATTCACTTTCTGGGAATCTTCTGTGAGGGTAAGCAGAATAAAATGCAGCCACATTAAAGTTGTAGAAATAATTCTCCTATTAAAAAAATGTGAGATGTATTACTATCTAATGGCGTAGGTCACAAAGTGCAAACATAAATGAATTTCCTTATATGCAAAGCAAAATATCTTGCTCAAGGACTCCAAGAGGGATACAATGCCACATTTGAAATACTGCAAGGGTCTCGCACTAAAAACAATAACCTAATCTCTTTTTCACAAACTGCACGAGTGAATAGAGGTACATATTATACATACTAAGCATCTTATGGGATTGCAGCATATCAATTATAGGAATAGAAGTTTTTACTTAATCTGTATTCCTACTACAGCTAGAGGATCAAGCAATAAGTCTAAAAATCCAAAATAAGTACAAAACAGTTAATACATATTTAATGTTGCAAAGTTCAACTGCATTGGAAATACTTTGGATTAAAGACTTATAGATGTCTCCCTTGAAACAGACTATAAATAACGGGGAGATTAAATTTAAGAAGTGTTGGGTGCTTAAAAACTGCAATTATTCATTTCCACTAAATTTGTTTCTTCTTTATACATTACTGGATGTTCTTTAGTTGGGACTTGAGAGTGTAGCAACTGCTAGTTTGTGAAGATAAAAAATTGGTTCCAAGTCATACAATTGGGCAGAATTCCCCTGTTGCTAGCCGAAAATCACTCTGCAAATATTGCAAATTGTAATTTTGATTGCTACTACCGCGTAGTTTTGTTAGTAATTTTGGTAAATTAACATTATTATATTACTTATGTTTGCGGTATGCCTATAAAAATCCATCATATTAACATAACAAAACTATACTTCAAATTATGGTAATTGAATTCCATCCATGCTAAAATCAGTCAATACAAATTTTTCCCACTAAATACATAGAACATTAGAACTGCTCTATTAAAGATTGCAATAAGATCACAAAACTTCCTAATGTATCAATCAATCTCAATGGGAAACCCTGAATTCAAGGCTGCCGTTCCTCAAAAGTTTTTTCTTCCAGCACTTATGTTTGCTGCATTGGCACTGCTTTTTCTTCACAACTTCACCCTCCTTTCCACCTTCATCCATTTCAACCCTCCCCTGGCCACCACTGTCTCCCTCACAACACGACCCCACAACACCCTCACATCCACGCTCTTCATACATCGAAGCCGTTCCCTTCTTCCCCCTAATGCTCCTAACCTTGTCAAACCCAAAAGCCAGTCTCAACGCATCGTTCAACGAAGTAGGTTTCTGCATGAGAACCCAATCATGAAACTCCTCCCTCAACCCATCAACAAATACTCCTCTGAGCAAATTCTCACTCAACCCGTGTTCCGGCCACCGCTTCAAAATCCACTGCAGCCTCAGAAAATAGGACCGAACACTTTCCCCTTCGCCCTGGCGAATCCCCGCGAGCTCCGACCTCAACTCCTCGACGGGTTCAACGTTGTGATACGCTTGCAGAAACGACAACTTTGTCTCTTCCCACGACAGAGAAAGGTAGTAGGGCTCCACATTGAGGTCGTACCAGAGCGCTGCTTCATCTTCCAGCGTCACCGGGAAGATCCTCATTTGCATGTCCACGGAGGAAGCGTTGTTCGCCCTGCAAACTTTGTTGAAACGGCTCAAGTGGGTGATCGGAGACTCGCTCGAAGTGCCACGAAAGATAGGTAACGGGGCGACTTTCACGTACGAAGAAGAAGTGTTTTTGGCGGAGAGTGAAGGTGTTTCGGAAACGTGTTGTGAGAGAGATGGGTCGTTGGAAACGGATTCGGAATTGGCTACATCGTCGTCTTCAATGTCTTGGTCTGGTTCCTCTTCGGACTGGTCATATTCGTCTTCCTGAGATTTGTTGTTGTATTGAGAATCGGAAGCGTCAGCGTCAGCGTCGTCGTCGTCAATGTGGTATTTTTCTTTTGTTGGAGTTCTGCGACGATGTGTTGGACCAGTGGCGGAGGAGTACGAGGCGGATTCGGATGATGATTGGTGGTGTTTACGAGTCATGTTGGATTTGGTTTTGGATTGTCATCAGCACATGTTGTCCCAAGAAGGAATATTAATATGTGAGGAGTTGTTGGGTTTGGAAGAAAAATTAACCGCCTGTGACCGTTAATTTTCTTTTGTTCGGAGGGTGGAGTACACCTATTGTAATTGGGTTTGCTTATGAATTATGATATATACATCTCTTTATTTTATAATTACATCTCTTTTATTTTTTTCAAAGTAATTTTTAAAATATTTGTGATTTTTTTATTTTTTATTTTTTAATTTTATATTTTTATTTTTAATTTATTATTTTTTTATTTTTTATATTTTTTTTTCTCTTTCAATTTTCTTGTGTAGTCTCGTGTCTTTTTTTAATTCTTTACTTATTTTAATAAATAATTTTAATTTTTTTAATTTTTATATTATTCTTTTATTTG